GTAAAGAACATTCTGTTAAGAACATACCGTGATTTTAGTTAGAGGCTTCTTCTCTTTGTAACATTTTCACTGTACAGGGCAGGGGGGGAGAAATGTGTGATCTGCTCTAATAAAACGCTGCTGACAGGCAGTTCAAAAAGGGACAGTTGGGACAGAGAGAGAACTGAGAGCTTGGTCAGAGAGCTTCAACAGATCTGTGTGTTGTGTCGTTATTGAACCCTCGAACCTACACCTGAGAGAACTTGTGATTGACCAAAGGTGCATGTGGAGGAGTGGGGAATCAACCCCGGTTCTCCCAGATTAGAGTCCGTGCTCTTAACCACTAAAACCAAACTGGCTCTCCAAACAGCCTGGGTGGAGCATAACAGCTGCCTATGAGCTCTTTTCTGCAGGCTAAGAATCCATGGCATTGGCTTCTATTGAGTCAGACATTTGGTTTTTCAAAGTACCCTGTACTGACCTGGATGGCCCACGTTCAGTGGATCTCAGAAGCTCAGCAGGGTCAGCCCTGCTTAGTACTTGGATGGGAGCCCACCAAGGAAGTCCAGGGTCGTGACACAGAGGCAGGCAATGGCAAGCCGCCTCTAAACATCTCGTCTTGGAAACCCTACAGGGCTCACGCTAAGCTGGGTGCGAGTTGACGGCACTTTCCACTGGCTGTGGCTCTCCAGGATCCAAGGCAGAGATCTTCCACTTCACCTACCAGTAGGACATCTTGGAGGTCATTAATTCGCAGGGTCGCCATAAGTCGGAAGCGACTCGACGACCTCAGCCTTTCAACTGGAGATGCCGGGGATTGAACCTGGGACCTTCTGCATGCCAAGCAGATGCTCTACCACTGAGCCACGGTCCTTCCCAGTAAAACCCGTGCACCCAGGACAGACAGCCCCTCATCTGGCCAACGAACGGACCCAGCCCTGCTCAGCTCCAGCGAGGCTTGCTGCATCGTGTTCTTTCACACCATGCCCTGAAATCACATGAAGCTGCCTTGTACTGAATCCTTGGTCCACTAAGGTCAGTACCAGTGTTCCCTCTAAGCTGAGTCAGTGTGAGCTAGCTCACAGCTTTTTAGTCTCCAGCTCACACATTTTTGTCTTGGCTCAGAAAGGAAGGCTCCAGAACAAACTAATTTATGCAGTAGCCAAACCACTCGCTCACAACTTTAATGCTAGTAGCTCACAAAATAGAATTTTTGCTCACAAGACTCCACAGCTTAGAGGGAACCTTGGTCAGTACTGCCTACTCAGACTGGCAGCGGTTCTCCAGGGTCTCAGGCAAAGGATTTTCAAATCACCTACCGCCTGGTCCTCTGAACTGGAGATGCCGGGGATCGAACCAGGGACCTTTGGCATGCAAAGCAGATACTTCTACCCCTGAGCCACAGCCCCGCTTCCCAAGTATGGGCTAAGTAAGGGTTGATCTAGGTTGCGAATACGCAACTGGATAGGGCTACGGGGTCAAGAGAGCTCCTGAATGTGCTATTATGTGCAAAGTCCCTAGAACCCATGTGAAGCAAAAGTGCCTATGAAGGGTTAAGTGATGTAACAGTATGTTAGCCTTCTTCCTAGTGCAGCTGTTTTAAGTTTGTTATTGTTAAGGTGCTGATTCTAAGGACAGGCAGACCTACCAATTAACTTTATTTGGGAAAACTGTTTTGACCGTAAAGTGGGGGCAGCTGATATTTGAAAGGGAAAAAGAGTATATTTTGACACCTTAGTTGGGGGAAAATTTAGCCTAGGAGATTCTGGGAACTCCTGTATGTGGTTCGTATTTGCAGACCTCGACGTGAAGTCACATTCCTCATTGTGACTTATGG